AGGCAGAAAAAGTAACTTCAACCTTACTTTTTCTTATTATTACACAATTGAGTGAGCGAAATCAAAAATTACATATTTGATAAAAAAAAGTCGTCTGATAAATCGAAAAACATGATGGGCTCGTAACGTCCTTCCTCCCTCCTTGACACATAACGTCCTTTCTCCCTCCTTGACACATAACGTCCTTTCTCCCTCCTTGAGTGGGTTTGGATTAAAGTGGTTTGATTCTGCGGGCTTGTTTGTAACCCATTAAAAAAAGTGATTTTGGTTTCTTTTTTTTTAAGAAAAAAGCACTTAATTTTCCAAACACTATCAACTTTTACTTCCTCGATTTTTGTGTAGAATCTACTTTTTACGTTTTCTATTACACAAAAAACACGTATTTTACCTAACACTACCAACTTTTACTACTAATCACTTTTTCTCAAAAAATGTTTTTATTTAAACACAAGTAGTTGCAAACAGAGCCTACGTCTAAAACTTTACATCCAAATTCCAAAACATGAAAGCTGAAAGGGCAACGCAACAGTTGAGTTATGAATAAGAAGAAAGATACACGTAAAAAAGGTTGAAAGGTAAAGATTCCTTGGTAATTAATTAAGCCAAATAATAAAGGCATCGACCCAATTGGGAGTTGTGATAAGGCAACACGGCCTCTGATGGTCGGGTCACTTTCATAAGTAGTGAACAGCGGTAGGGTACCAAAAAGGGGAGAATATAGCATACGGACATCATGACCAAGTGACCAACCAAACTGGCCTAATCCTCATACCCAAACAAATCCTCTCATAGAAACTTGAAAATGGGTCTTTATTGCGAGTCATTATAAAAGGCATGAATCTTGACTTGCTGGCCGGTGGGCGTTGACAATGACTTCTGATGAGGATCCACTACGTTTTGTTTGGTCTAAGGAAATGTAATCACTCAAAAATGAGAAACAACATACGTACGGAGTAGTATGTTCGATGCTAGTGCACGTATTTATTTTGTTAGGTCACTTTTTGATGAGATTCAACTTTGTTCGCAACTTTTTTTTCTTAAGAAAAAGTCCAGGTGTTGCCCAAAATCTTTTTGGTTGTTCACCTAAAAAATACTCGTATTAATTGATTTTCATTCTCTTTAAGTCTTTTTAATTCCTTCTCGTGTAAACAGCCATATATTGATATAATATATACTACTGAGTAATATACTACGTATATATTTGTTGGGAGAATTTGATTTTACACCCCACTTTTTGGATGATATTGGACTTTGCATCCCATTTTCAAAAAAACTTACTTTAATTTGCACCACATCACATAACATTTTGTGGGAAAAAATCTCAATGTAGTGCAATGTCAAAGGATTTTTAAGTGAAATGGGTGCAAATTCAAAGTTTTTTTAAGTGGGTGCAAAGTCTAATACTCGTATCACTCAAAAAGTGAGGTGCATAGTCAAATTCCTTCATATTGGTTTATCAAAGATGAATGCAAAAAAAGATTTACTTAGCTTATTGAAAGAATATAAGGGTAACAAATGCCCCTAAAATATAGGGGGTGCACATTTTGGGAAGAAAGTAACGATACTCATATTGAATTTATAAAAAAAAACTATGCACATTTTGGGTGCGTAGTTCACAAGGAGTGCTACAAGAAAGATGTCTTGGATTCAACTCCAAGTAATGACTTGAGGTAGAACTTCACTTTTTTTCTTACGTCTTCCCAAATAACTGTCTCAGAGTGAGGCCCTCAGGGATATATAGAGTGTCATTCTTTCTTAACTTAGTTTGTAGTCTGGTTTGTCTTTATTTATACTACTACTACTTGTTGAAGCATTTATCCCACACCGAAAAGCTATAAAAGAATTAAACACTATATAAGGCTGTGAACTACTCCTTCTATGAGGTTGACTTTTTAGGATGGAACTCCGGGTCTTAACATGGTATCAGAGCCAATTTCGATTGTGGTTTGACGGCTTGTTTAGAACTCATGATTAAGGGTAGTTTGTTAAGGGCTTGTTTGGCCCGTTTATACACCCCGATATTGTTCAGCCTAGTTCGGGCTGAGGGGGCGTGTTGAAGCATTTGTCCCACACCGGAAAGCTATAAAATAATTAAACACTATATAAGACTTTGGGTTACTCCTCCTATCAGGTTGACCTTTTAAGATGGAATCTCGGGTCTTAACACTACTACGCATATATTAAACTAAAACAATATTTTTATGTCTTTTTCTTATGCCACATCATGTGATCTCATAAAATATAAAAAGTCAAATATTTAATCTGGAGATGGGTTTGGCCGGAGAAATTTTTCGACAAAAGTTTAAAGTGTCATCGAGATAAGCATTTAAAAGATGAAGGAAGAATAAATCACACTCATCATTTACTTAATTACCTGAAATGCACAGCATGTTACCTGAAATTTTCATTAACGTAAGAAGATTTACCTGCCGTAAGAGTATTTTTCACGTTTTAGGCATGACTCTTACATAGTTACACCCAATTAATATCATTCAAGAATACGTAGGTATCATTACTCAGGTAACTAGTATACTTCGTAGGTGTATGCTTTCGCCAGGGGCAAATAGTTTATAATGAGCCTAACTTTTAATTTTTTTTTGTCTAAACTAATGCATAACAATAATAGTATAATACTTCAAAAATTGTATAATAAAGGAAAGATTTTATAATTCGTTGTATTAAGAAAGTAAAATTACAGAGAACATTTCTGTTACACCTTGAAATTTATTATATTTATAAATTTAATGAAAATCCATTTTTATACCGAAGAAAATTTAAAACTATCACGAGATGATTTAATTTTATCATCAGTCAACATTAAAATTCAAAAATTGCAACTGAAATCGGGACGGAGGAAGTATAAATCTGAATTTGCGATTTCACGATCAATAAGTCAAAAACTAGGTGACTAATCAACGAAAATGTAAATTCAATGAAAATAAAAAAAAAAAGTGAAAAGCTATGATAACTGATCTTGAAATAAGTAAGAGCATAAATGTAAAATATATAAGAACATAAGAGTAATAAAAGATATAGAGGACTCGAGGTTATCAGAAGTTAGCATCCTATGTTCGGATTATGAAGGATAAAAGACTCATGAAGTTGATGTATCCACTATCTCTATGGTCCATTGAGTACTGACTGATAGTATTTTATAATGAGGAATCAGAATATTGAGGTTTGAACTGTGAAGAAGTGAGAGCCTAAATGACGATTCAGTGATAGACACCGGCCCTACAGAGAGTCCTTTTTGTGGAAAAATTGTTTACGCCTTCAGAACTCTTTTCCCTAGCTATGTCGCATGAAATTAGTGGATATAGCCTAAAGACTCAGCCTACTCACTCTTAATATAAAGCCTTAAGACTGGGCCTAATTTTTTTACACTTTTTTTGGGCCTTGGACGGCTGGACGCCCACCCCTGCTGCATCTCCCCTAGAGCCGCCCCTGGCTTTCGCAAATTCAGCCACTAAAAGAGTACTTGGATTGAATTAAAAGATTGGTTAAGAAGGATGGGGAAGGAGTTAAGAAAAGGGTCAGTTTTTTTGTTTGGGCATCTCCAGTCCCATGTAACTTAGCGTTTGTTTGGTGACTTTGGGGTGTTTGGATCTGATTCCTAAAACTGTTTCTGCTTACTCAAAGAGCATAAGCAGAAGTTGAATTGTTTGGGTAAAAGTGCAGAAGTGATTCACGTGCTCTATCTAATTTACTCCTAGAATCAGTTTTTTTAGAAGTTGGGGGAGACCAGCTTCTGAAAACTGATTCTGCTTCTGCCTTTAAAAAAGAAGCAGAAGCAGAATCAGTTCCAAACACCCCCTTTATTTCCAAGATTATCACAATCAACTTTTTTTTAATCAAACACATAAGTTTTGGTCTCACGCGCTGAATTGTGTGATAATCAAAATAATTGAGTTTGAGATTAGTTTTTTCGTCGGATTGGCTGAAGTTACTATTGAGTACCATTTTAATTATTTTTCATAATTCAACAGAATCAGCAATAATCCAGTCACTTCAGTCAGAATTTCATACATTTCAAGAGAACTAACTGAATTAGCCAATTCCAGTGTGTTACTAAACAAGGTATAGCGTAGTAGATGACATATGAAATAAATGGTAGAAATCGAGACATTATCAGCCCAGTGCCGCAAAGGCTTCGGGGTTAGGAAAATCAGATGTACGCAGTCTTACTCATATACTAAATTATAGCATAGAAAAACTATTTCCAGATGACCTATAGTGAAAATCGCTTAAAATTGTACAGACATTGAGTGACTGGTGCTTCATAACAAAGAAGTGTAGACAATTTGATGCGTCATTTACTTTATTCTATCATATTATAAAGCTAAAAAATAATGAATCTTTGATCAAACTCCATGAAAATGGCAGAAAACAAGATAAACCTACCACTACAAACAAATTGCCATTTAGCAATAGTAACTTATACCAACAGAGGATTACCGTTTGTATAAGATAGCAATACCTACACAAATCTTCCGTTGGTGATTATAATATAAATTCCTACATTTTATTAAATCTGTTGGTACAAGTTATATATTTCCTACACTAAAATTAAATCTGTTGGTATAGTGATGGGAGAGGACTGCTCAGGTCCCTCCGGAGGGACGGGAGGGACGATCCGAACTTTACTGTTTGGGGCGGTTCCCGGTGGAATTTTTTGATGAAATTTTTTGAGCATGTTCCTCATCAAGTCTAGTTTGTCCATACCAAATTTCAGCTCAAAATTCGACCGGGAAGGCAGTCAAATAAATTCTTGAAACTTACTGCACTTTATATATGCGCAGAATGTGCAGTAAACTTCAAGAATTTATTTGACTGCCTTCCCGGTCGAATTTTGAGCTGAAATTTGGTGTGGACAAACTAGACTTGATGAGAAACATGCTCAAAAAAATTCATCAAAAAATTCCACCGGGAAGCGCCCCAAACAGTAAAGTTCGGACGGCCCCTCCCGTCCCTCCGGAGGGACCTGATCTTTTTTGAGTGATGGGATATACAAACTTTTAAAAATAAAACTGTATGTAAAAGTTTGATAAATCATTTTAAAAAAAAGGATAAGAGACTTCAAACGAATACACAGACTCGAGCTGGAATACATAACTCGCAAGTCAAATAGAAAATCAGAACTGTTGTTGCTTGGGTCGCTAAGCCAGGCCGCAACAGTGAGACACTGCTTCGTTCCCGGTGAGATCTGGATCGGCGGCTTTGCAGGGAGCTTGTTGTGGCCATTAATGGCAGAAACCTTGCAGGGGCTCACCAGACTCGGGGGGAGCTGCGACTGCAGCGCGGTGGCGTAGGTGGAGAAACAAGCTTCAACTGTCAATCAGTGATGTTGTGACGAAGGCGGAAGAATGATCTGCTAGGGATATTTCTGCGGTGAGGATATATGGATAATCCCCATCGCCGGTAGCTCTGCTCGCAGGTTGCATCAGACTTCCTACCGCGGTAAAAACGTTTATCGCAACTCGTAGCTTCAAGAGCAATTTATACATTTTGGATAAAATTAGGTCTCTGCCTTTCTAAAATTATCCCTTTTCGAAAGGATTGACTTGTTTATGGTTTTGTAATTTTCTGTTATGAAAGTTTGATTGAGTTTCTTTGTTGACTTTAGGTCTGTAGGGGCATACTTGTTGAATCAGTCATGCAATGGATTTGTGCTGGATATAGCTCGAAACCTCTAAAAGTATGTTCGCGGTTCGCCATGCTTTCCCATATGTCTAAATATAAATATAAAATATGTTCTCAAAATTGTACTAACTGTTTGTTTCCAAGTTATTTCTTCAAATTTGAGGTGATGTAGTTGACTCTAGTTTTATTTTTAGGTATGCTAAGTTGCCTTTTTTAAGAGTTCTATTAATCAACTAGGACAGGCGCGCGCGTTGCGCGAGGGTCGGTGCCCAAGGGTGGATAAATCAGAGAAGTGAAGGCAAAAAACAAAAGCTGAATAGATAAGTAATTGTTGCAAAAGTGCCCATACATTGGACATGATGGCAAAAACATAAGGATAAGGATAATTGTGATGAAACATAAGAGCCCCTTGTGCAGATTAGTTTAAGCTGCAATCATAGACATCAGGTTGAACAATACATAATTGGTTCAAAATATGTAGGCTTATTGGGCAGATGTTTTTTTGATGAGTGCAAAGTAAATATAAGGCTAGCACAACCCTAATGAAGAACCTCTGCAGCAGCAGTTGTGGCAGAAGTTCGTATGTCATATGTGTTGGTTTCCTTTGGAAGGTCTTCTACACCGCATTTGGATATAACAAGCAGCAGTGCTTCCCCACGACCATGTGTGACGAAGAAGAGAGTTGAACGCCGGCTCAGCTGAAAAGTCTTTTGAATATTCCGCAAAGTTGGGTGCTCTCCAGTGCCAAAATAAGCATCATCTTTACCATAAAAGATCCGCACCTGTTTCCTTGAGTCACTGCATGAGCGCAAGAAGCCTTGACAGCAATGCTGCATTGAGTGGAAAAACAAGTACTTAGTTAATGCGGGGGCAGGGATGTTTATGGGCAAAAAGGTTATTATTAATTAACAACATATTGTAGCAGGATGTGGGTGCCTCTGTGGTTGCAATATTTGTTTATTTACACGTGCAAATAATTAAAAACCAAATAGAAATGAAGAAACATAAAGGTCACAGTAAATAGCATGTACCTTGGAAGTTCGTTTTGGGACATAGAGATAAGAGGGAGCATCATACAATGTGCTATATGAGTGATCCTCGAAAGATGATTCAACGTACATCAGGAAGTCAGCTGCAGAAGATCAGTCAAACACATGAAGGTATACTAAAGGGAGAGTGATAATAAACAGATAAGCAAAGGAAAATCTGAAAATAATAACAGAAAATATACATGGGGTATGCAAAGGATTTGAAGTGCCAATAGGAGTTCCAGCCAGGTTAAGGGAGAAGCCATGTTTGTCAAATATGAAAAGTTCAAATATGAAATTCCCGACATGGCGCACGAGAGCATACGAGTCCAACTCAATATCATTTTCAACGAACAGTTCAGCAAGCCATCAGTGAATGAGCAATCGTCAACCCGCACGTTCCATGACATGGTTCCATACAGCAGACGAGCATAGGGTCTGGCATGTTCAAACAGGTGCCTCCGCATACACTCAGGGATTTTCTGCAAAGCAATGAGGCAAAGCAAACAATCCAGTAATGATGGGCAGCGATTAGGCGTAAACAATAAGCTGGGTTAGTGTATGGTATGTGGAAAACGTACAGCGAGTTCGATGTCAGGGATTTCCAGCTTAAACCAAACCAAAGCAAACTGCACCACATCAGGGAGATGAATTGGAGCAGTGATTGGGATTATAGACAATGACAAAATGGACGCATGTGTAATTTTTCAAAGAAGAACAGTTGCTTCAGATAAGCTGAACAGACAAACAAACTGGAGACTGACATTTTACTTGAAAAGTAAAAAATAGGTCAATAATGAAAAGTGAAAAACATGCATAATGACGTAAGGTTTGAAAGGAACATAGGTTAAAAAGAAACAAATGGTTATATGTTCAAACCATTTCTAAAAGTTTGCGCATGGGTGATATTAGTTATGCATAAATGTAAGAATAAAACCACCTGATATCAAATGCTTTGACGGGCATGGCTGGAGAAAATGAGTGATTTTGCGTTCAAGTTCGACCTTGCTTCGAAATCTTGTTGGGAGGAACCTGTAAAAACCCGAAGCATGCAAAAAAGTCTGCCAGTCAGCACTTGTCTCACAGCCAGTTTCCTCTTCATTATGTTGGGTAACGACAGCCACCGTGATCTTTCTCCCATGCACTGTGTTGATAAAGTACGTAAGGGAGTCGTCGCCGGAAGGCACCTTTGCCTTCAGGACGGTGCAAGTGCTGAACAAATCCATTAAACCTATTAATAATCAACAGATGTAGACAAGAGTAAGGAAAAGAGAAACAGGACGAAACCATAATAATGTGCATAAGCAAAGATTACAAAAAAACAAACAGATTATTGAACAACATCAAATAAAAAGAGCATGTCATATATATTTCCATCCATGGTGGATGACATGCTTGACAGTACAAGTGATGAACAAGACTGTGTGAGTAAGGAAGTAAAATATATGAGAATAACTTGATTAATATGGGGATGAGGGAGGGATACAATAATGGGGTGAATAAGTGACACAACAATTAAAAAATGATGAAGTAGGAAGCGGTTAACAAAGCATTGAAACATGTATATGTGAATCTTGTGTAAAACAGTTTGGATCATTATTTAGTAGATGGGTTAGAGAAATATACAAGCAGGTTGCATATTAACCAGATTACAGCAGACTTAATATGTGTATTGTGTATGGCAGATTACAAACAATTACATGAAGTTTAGAATGTGTAGTCACAGTTTCTCATATATAAATGTATCTATAAACTTTGATGTATCTACACACTGGTAAGGGGAATCCATATGGAGAATATGTAAACATGAATAACAAATTCCAGAACATAAAAAGATGTATGAAAGAAGGGGAACAACAGAACGAGAGTGGATGCATGTAATTTTTTTCCCTGAATGATATAGTGTTTCTGGAAGTTTGAAGAAAGAAGAAATAAGAGATGATATTCATGCATGGTAAGAATTGGGAAGTTGGAGCGAGTGAATTACCTTGATGAACAGTGCAATGAGGGGAGAGCTGGAGGCTTGCGAAGGATGAGCTCTGTTAGGGGTAAAGAAAGGCCGGAGGCCGTGAAACGGCATTAAGTAATGCCTTGGGACTGGGATGCGCGGCTGCGTTGCCCAGTGGCCGCGCATGGAGGGGTATGATTGCGCTGCAATTAAAACCAAACTGCTAAAAACATTTATTTAATTGGTTGTTAGGTGGTTACGTATTTCAATATTTTTTTTAAAAAAGGTTAACAAATTTTTTTATCTTCATGTGACACTAATATTGTATCAAAAAAAAATTACCCAACATTAACCAAATATAGATATTTGGAAATAAATTACCCAACACTAACCAAAAAAATATGATTTTCCCCCATTTTTTTATATAATGTAAAATATATACCATTAGAAAGAACATAAAAAAACGGGGGGAAACTTAAATGGTTTTTGTAAAAGACTCCAAAAAGAAAAGGTATAACATTAGAAAGGGGGAAAAATTGAAGAGAACACCACACTGAAAATATAGTGCAAACCTGATGTAGATAGTAAAAGAAGGATATTTATTCTATGGGCGAATTTGAACATTATTTATGTTTGTAGTTATTATTTGTAGTGTAATCTGTACCGAACGTAAAAACGGTCAAATTTTATTTATTAATAAATGTAGTTTAAAAAGACACACATATGTGATAGTTATAACCGGCTAGCAAGGTGGTTTGGCTTATCACATCTGTTCTGAACTAATTAAAACAAGGCGTAATTCAAAATTAATTGACAAACATACGTTTTTTAACAAGTATCAATAGATGGAACTATATTGATGTCAGCTTAATATTACAAGCGAGTATATTGGTATTTTTGTAAGCCATATATTTTTGACATTTTTTTGGTTTTATTTTAATCAGAATATTGGGGGAAATTGCAAATTTGAAGAGAACACCACTGTATCTGAGAAGTTTACCTTCAATCTTCCAAGAGAACTGTCTTCCAATATGTCAGTGTCAGCATTGTAGACAAATATCCCGGGTTGTAAATTTATGCTGCACAACTTGCATATTGAGTATGATGATCATGTAATTGAAGTTATTAGTATGTAAGCACCACAATGCAAATTAATGGGGTGCTTACATTAGCCCCACCTTCGATGAGCTTATGGACACAGGTGATCTTTCCATGCATTCCAACCACCATCAATGGAGTCTAAACCATCCAAAATCAACCAAAACAATAAACACCATCAGCCGTCATTAGGGAGAAATATAAAAAAATGCACAAATTATCTAACCAAACAAGGAAAATGAAGAAGAAGAAGAAGAAGAAGAAGAAGAAAGCGGAAACACGGGACCTGCTTGTAGCGATTTAACACATCCCGATTGACAGATATGTTTAACAGCATATTTACGACCTGACAAAATTAACCGATATCCATCCATCAACATTGATTTCAGTAACTAAAGATTGAATTTTTCAAATAATGAGAGCTGACCTCGACCTGGCCATTGGTTTGGTGAACCAGGCCCGTTTTGTATCAAGTAAATCTTGTAATCCATCCCTCTCTTCTTCACTAATTTGATACAGTTTGTATTTAGATGTTGACATCATCTAGGGTTTTCACTTTTTTCAATTACGCATATTGGCTAGGGCTGGATTCAGAGCATTAGTCCACCCCATTCAGAGCATTAGTCCACCCCTTAGAAAAAGCAATAGAATGTTTGCATTATTTATCACCTTGGGAGTAAACATCAAAAGACATATCTGTGGTTTTCCTAAGGAGTGGGAGTAAACATTAAAAGACATACTTGTGGTTTTCCTAAGAAGTGAATAAGCATACTGTAAAAGAAGTTTAGGGAGACATGGGGCAATACTGAAACAATAATCTGAGTGATCCGAACATGAACAAAATCACACTGCAGAAATGACAAAACCAAAAAAGAGGCAACTATGTGCATAATAAAGTGAAACACCAAAGTGGGTTTATATACATTCCCTTATTGGAGAAGGAAAGTGGGCGTAACATCCACAACATGTTCTGCATGGTATTTACACACAAAATGAGATTTGTTGTGACAGGTTAAGAGCAAATGCAGACATAAGCATAATTGAGCGGGAAGTGCAATAATAGCATCATAAGCACTGTCCATCAATTATGATGTAGGGCGGGGGGCAAAAAGAGGTGGTCAGAAGTAACATGGGTATGCCTCATAAGATAGCACATTTTAATGAAAAGATTGCAGTAAAGTCCCATGCGTTAGGCAAAAAATTATAGACCCGGGAAATTAAACGCTGGTGAGTTTGCGTTTTTTGGCGCGCAAGTTCGCCAGGGGTTCATCTGAAGCGTGGTCCTTGCTTGCAACAGCTTTGGTGGATGACGAAGGTTGTGTCATAGGCAACTGGTTAATGGCGTTAAGGTTGAGTTTTTGGGTCGCAGGGGGTGATAGTTCAGCAACAGTTTCTGGTGATGCTGTTTCATTAATTGGAGAGCTGGGCGGGGTTTCTTCCACTTTGGATACGCACACAATGGTGTATGGATTGCCCTGCAGACCATCTTCGCTCACTTTAGTGCGCTTCACTCCGCATACAATGGTGAGGTGTTGTAGCTTGGTATCAAATGCTTCCAGGTTCATATCATTGTTGGAATCAAGCTTGACAAATTTTAAGAGGGCCACCACATCGCTGGTGAAAAGAGTGACATTGATACTGTTGAGAGTATCATTCAATGAAGCATTCAGTCGAAACCTAGACAGGCAAGTAAATGTTATGCAAATCTTGTTGAAAGAAAGGATGTGTGTAGGTATGTATTGGCATACCTTTTAACAGTGGTGCCGTTCTTTTGACCACTGAATAAACACTGAAATTCAACATCTTCTGATCCATGGACCCTGCGGTTGCAGTAGTCACAGCCAATGTAGAATCCTTCTTCTGAGGTATCTGCCAAACGGAATTTACCACAAACCCACACAACGAGGGCCTTTTGGATGGGAAGTGTGAATACGAACGATTAGTTTATTGCAATAGTAAAGTGAAAGAGGACAATTAATATTGTTAGTAAGGCCTACCTCATGAAGTGCATCTTCCAAACCATCTAGGCCCGTCAACGGTTGAGATAGAGGTTTAGCAATCGCTGTAAGGGCAAACCCGTGTTCTTTAGCTTCTACCATTTCAGCGATTTTCTCTCTGTTTTCACCAACCCTGTTAGTACACATGAACATTAAAACATGAGAGTCAGTGGTAAAGGGATAAGTGTTGGCCTAAATGAACAGTTTCAGCACTGAGTAATCACCATTTTTTCAGTCGCAATGCCCGTTCCCCATCAGGGTTTAGCTCAACATTACAGTCAAAGCGAGTTGAGAGGCTCAAACCTAAAAATATTAATCTTTGTTATACAAGGCATAAAGAAAATCAATTCGTGAAATGTCAAAGAGAGGCTAAAAAAACAGAAAATAAGTCATGTAACCGAGAAGGTGTTCCTACCCTGAAAAAGGGTGATGGCAGCCCTGTTAATAAGCACCAACGGGAAGTCACCAGAGTTCAGAGCTTTATCAATTTCATTTCCATGGCGCTTGACAAAATCTTCCCACATGGTGAATGGGATTGGAATGCACCTGATGGATAGTCTACCCGGGGGGTATCTTATCCGAGGGGTTATTGCGGGAATAACTAGAGAGAAGTCAGAGCAAAATAGGAGGAGAGAGAGTCGATTTATTAAATGAACTCAGCGTGTGGAGTTGAGATGTAGATGATCATTTACAAGGAGAAATGGGCTGCTATTTATAGCAGCAATAAATGCGATGAGAGGACACATGTCAGTAATCCAACGGCCGAAGGGTCACATCAGCCTGGTGGCACCGGCAGTGGTACGTCAACCGCATTGAATGCGGTTGGCGGATGCGACGTGGCATTAAATGCGGTGGTTGGCTGTCTCTAAAAGGAATCTTCGATGATTGAGCTTGTTCAGCCGAAGGCTCCTTGTGTAGCCGAGGGCTCCTTGTGTAGACGAGGGCTCCTTGTGTAGCCGAGGGCTCCAATGCTACCGAAGGCTTGGTTCAGCCGAAGGCTTCCCCTGGTGCCGAGGGCATGAGAATGCCGAAGGCTCATGTCCTCGCCCGTTTTCTCCCAGCAGCTTCTTATGCCAGAGAAGGCTATCCTGTGAGTTTTGGAGCCTTCGGCCAAGGAGGCCGAAGGCCCCCAGTGTGTATTCTGGGCTACTTTGAGGCTTGGGCCGTTGTATCTGGGCCTGAGTTGTCTCCTGAGCTCAATGGACTTGTGTAGGAGAAGTAGGAGTCTATGGGCCGGGGGTTCCTGGGCCATATACTCCATCAGGAGTCCCTCACTCCTTTTGCCGAAAGGTACTTTGAGGGAAAAGGAGTAGATGTGTTGATTCTTCTGGAGGCTTCATCATTTCGCTGGGTGCCTTTGCTGGAGAACTTGTCTTCTGCTGATTTGCCGAAGGCTTCCCTCAGTCCCTCACATGTCGAGGGTTTTCTGAGGGAAGGTATTCATAACCTTCGCATGTTCGCCGGGGGCTCCCCTCAGTTCCTCACATGTCGAGGGCTTTCTGAGGGCAGTATAGCACCTGTATGACTGCAGAAGGCTTTCCTCAGTCCCTCACATGTCGAGGGTTTTCTGGGGAAAGCATAGATGTATTGCCTGCATGTGTTGTGATGAGGGCTGCTTCATTTCCGCAAGTGACTTGTGGAAACTTTCGATATTCTGTCTCCGCCGAAGGGTGTGATTCCCGAGGGGTGTGTCCCGGAGTCCCTCACTCCTTTAGGCCGAAGGCTAGTTCGGGATGAAGGAGTTATGATGAGTTGATGAGCCCCCGAAGGGACAACAATGTGAATAAGCCGAAGGATTACGCTGATGCAGGCTTGAAGGCGCCTGGTGAAATTTGCTGGCAGAGGGATGTGGTGAGCGATAGCCGGAGGCTATCGTTCGAGGGCCTCTCAGTGCTGCTGAAATATAGTCTTTGTAATATAGCCGTTGGAGGAGGGTTCCACGTGGCGTTTCGTCGTTGGCAGATGGGGGCGGGTGCCACCCATTGGTTGAACCGGCGGCCCGTAATGATGGCCTTTTCAAATCGAGGCCCAGTTCTCGAGGCTGAAAGCTTATATATACCCCAAGGTGGAGCTCAATTCCCTTGTGCGTTTTTCTGCGATAGCGAAGCTCTGCCAAAATTTCTAGAGAGAGAAAGCCTTCTCATCGATCAAACTTAAGTTTTCCTTCCGCCCCAAGGTCAGTTCTTCGCCTGTTCTTGAGCTCCTTAGTAGATTTTGCTTTTTCCTTCTTTGATTTAGTGTTAGCGAGTTTCTAGGGAGCTTTCGGTTAGAGCTTTAAGTAGCCTTCCCCCTTTAAACCCTTCAACTTCTCTCCGGTAAAATGTCAACCCAAAGCGACTCTCAAGATATCTCGAGGGAGCCCTCAGTGCAACCAGAGGGCTATTCGGACGTGGAGTCCTCGAGTGAGACCTCCTCGGACAATAACGATTCCGCAGTGGCGCAGGAGGTCCAAGATAATCTCAGAACCGAGGCCGAAGCTGAAGACTTTGAGCAAGTCGTTGAAGACGAAGAACTTGCCCTCGCCCTCCAAGTGGCTGAAGAAGAGGAGGAGAGGGAGCGACAGGAGGTGACAGTCGCCGTCTTGCCCCTCCGTGGTTCAGGGGAGACGAGTACCTCCCGGCCTCTGGACCCGGAGCCCCTGAGTGTAGCCCTTGGGAAAAAGAAGAAAAAGAAGTCAAGAGTCCCTCAGAAGAAGAAGCAACCTGCAGCAGATTGCGGGAAACCCGTGGGCATACCCGAGGGGCATTCATGGCTGAACACCGCCGCCCTCACGTTGAGATCGAGAGCCGATCGAGCGGAGTGCTATGTCACTCAATTGCACGTGGGGCCTTCGGCAACAGTGATCGAGCCGGGGCCTAATGATCTCCTGTCCCAGGCTCCGGAGGGATGTTTTTCGATCCATGTGTTGTCGGTTGCCATGGGCCTTCGGTTCCCGCTGCACCCTTTTCTTCTTGAGTACCTGAGGTATGTAGGTTTAGCCCCCTGCCAGCTCACCCCGAACAGCCACTCTTACATCACCGGCTTTCTCCAGCTCTGCCGCTCCCGTGGGGTGACCGCGACCCTCGATTTATTTTTTCAAAGCTTCAACTTGTGCCGGGGGGGCATACCAACTCTGAGGGGTTTGCAAACTTGCAGCAGCTTGCCCCTTGGAGGCTCTTTGATGATGTGCCTTCGTCTCACAAGGGATGGAGGGACCGGTTCTGCTATATCAAGATGGCAGAGAACCCGTTTCCGGGGGAACTGCGTAATCACTTTCGGCGGCACCCGAAGGTGGGAAGTGCCGCGCTTCAGAAGGAGGGGAAGAAGCTTGTTGCTCTGCTGCCGGGGGCCACAAAGCATGTGACCGTCAAAGACTCGACCCTCCCGGAAGATTTGCTGGCCCTCGGCTTCCGGCGGTATCGTTTTCTGGGTGAAAAGGACGAACAGTACCCCGTCCTCGAGAGAGCCTTCGGTAGCATTGGAGGTAGTTACCGAAGGGTCTGCTTTATTGTACTTAGGATATTTGCATGTTCTTATTTCTCTTCTTTTGTCGTAATTGACCCCTCCGGTTTGACTTCTTTGCAGGTATCAGCATGGATGTCTCCAACTTTGCTGCATTGAAGAAGAAGCTGGCCAAGGAGCCGAAGAAGAAGAAGGAGACGGGGGTTCAGAAACCCGTCGATGATTTCTTCCGGAAGGATGGGGCTGTTCAGGTCCCGGAGGGTGAGGGACCCTCTCAAGCTGCTGATACCGGTGCTGGTGCCGGGGGCTCCAAGGCGGAGCAAAAGAGGAAAAACTCCGGCAAGGGCGTGATGCCTCCGGAGAAGAAGAAGAAGAAGGGGGCCCCCGAGAAGACGGACGCCTCCGTTGTCATTGTCGAAGAGCACTCTTCCTCCTCCCCCTCGGCAAATGCTCCTCCTCCCCCTGGGGACCAAGGCAACAACCTGGCTTGGCCCCGGGATGATGTGCAGTTCTCTATCACCAAGGGAACTGCCATCATGCATGGCACCCTCAACCCGAGGGAGTTCCTGAAGGGTGCCACGCCCCCGACTGACAAGTCGGTGCTCTCGAGGGCTAAGGATGATGCCCTCAGTGCCAAGGTGCTCCAAGCCTCCGTCACTGTAAGTTTCTCTCTTAACTTTTGTTTAGTTGATGGGCTTGGCGTATTTTTACCAAGCTGACCATTGCTGTTTGACGGTCTTGATTCGCAGGCTGCCCTCGGGCTTGGGGAACTGCTCCAGAGGATGGAGCAATATCAGGCGCAAAAGCGCCAGGCTGATGAGGCTCTGGCGGAGTCCCGGCGGCAACTTCAAGAAGCCCAAGAGACCCTCCGACTGGAGAAGATGGCATTCAACGGCATCCTCGAAAATAATAAAGTGATTGCCAGAGCCGAGGGGAAGGCCGACGCAGAGAGGGCCGCTGCCGAAGCCGCCAAGGTTGCCGCCGAGGAGGCCGAGGCAGCCAAGAAGGAAGCTGTCGCCGAGGCTGAGAAGAACGCCATCGCCGCCTTTGCCGCTGAGGGGTGGAGGGCCGAAGATCGGAAAGGATGGGTGGCCTCGGTCATAGAGCAGGGGGTGGATGCCTGGGTGAAAGGTCCTGGTGCCGAATGGTTAGCCCGAAAGGGCAAAGACTACTATGATGGTGGAGAGTTTTTCACTCAAAACCTTATCTACCGGAGGCTCGCCAGGCACTTCAAGATTGATCCCAAGAAGTTCGACCCAACGGCATATGGCCTCCCCCTTCTGCAGCCAGACGTAAGAGTCCCCCTTCCCGAGGGAGAAGAAAGGTCGGATCTAGAGGATTCCGAGCTGATGGGTGAAGGCGGTGGCGAAGAAGTCGAGGATGATGCTGCTTCCAAGCCGAGGGATGATGCGGATCAAGAAACTCAGACTTAGGAATTTATTGATGTATTTTGTAATAGCTTGTAGCTTCCGACTTCTGCCATTGTAATGAACATCTTTTTGCACTTTTGCCCCCGGGCTTGTTGATATGAATGTTTCTGATTACTTTTTGTAATGTCTTCGTTTCTTTCCTTTATGAATGCATGTCTTCCTTATACTTCGTGTATCTTCTCGAAGGCTTTAGAATTTTTTTTTTCTAAGTGTAACTCTTCGCCAGCCCCCGGCCGCGGTGTAGGATTTCCGGGGCTTGTTGTTGTGGAATCATCAAACTTTCCAAGTAAACTTGATCAGCACCCTTCGGATGTAGAGTAGAATCATCGGGGGGTTTGTGATTGTGGACTTAGAAAATTTTCTAAGTAAGAACTCTTGTCGTGAGCCTCCGGTCGTAGTGTAGGACCAACCCCCTTCGGATGTTCGTAGTAGTGATGTCGAGGGATAAAATGAATTAGATTTAGGAATTCCACCAGGTGAAATCGCATCTTATGCCCCCGGAAGCCTTGGAAGCCTTCATCTAGTAGTGTAGCTTCTGGCCATCGCCAAGTAGCTTGGGAGGCCATCGGCCATGAGTCTGTAGGTGAATGAATTGTCCTCCCGAAGGGTCCACATTTGTGGACTTAGAAATTTTTTCATCCTCAAATGAGTCTGGTGATATTCTGCCTTCGGCATGAAGCCTCCGGTTTGTGTAGACATTGGTTTAGCCTGCTTTAGAACTTTGTGTAGCCTTCGGCATGTTACATGGTTCACTTTGATCCAGCCGAAATCTTCTTGGGGGAAACCTTGTACTCCAATGTTTCATGCAATGAAGCCTTCGGCTATGTAGTCAGATGACTTGTTGTTGCAAGACTTTTCTTGTGCCTGTGTAGGAGCCTTCGGGAATGTATGCCCGAAGTGTTGAGCCTCCGGGAGAATAGTATCCGGGGAGTTCCTTCCCCCCTACACATCTTTTTTTTTTTTTAGATGATGTAGGAGAGGCGTCTAGAAACTTGGTTTCTAGGAAAGGCTTGGCCTATATGGGAGGCAACAGAACAAACCGTTGGCTCCCCCTTCGGGAATGACCTTCCGATATCCCGAAGGGTTTGAGGGTCGTTTCCTCGGCCCGAGACATCGTCTGTTGCCTGCTTCCCCTTGGGAGATAGCACGGAAAGCGACTCGGTTTTGAAAGTCGTCCCCTCAGCCCGAGACATCGTCTGTTGCCTGCTTCCCCTTGGGGGATAGCACGGGGAGCGTTTCGTTTGTGGAAGTCGAATCCTGGGCCCGGGACATGGTCCGTTGCCTGCCTCCCCTTGGGGGATGGCGCGGAAAGCGTTCCTGGGAAGGGTTTTATTTGTGTGTGGGACACAAATAGCCGGGGGCACTTGGTGCCAGCCGGAGCCGAGGGGTATTGCACCCCCCGGTTTTTTTTTTTTTTTTTTTTTTTAGGAGGATAGAGTGTGTATAAGTATGCATAGTGTATGCATGATTGCGTCCTCGTGGGGTACGGCTTGGTGAGAAAACACCTTGGTGTTTTCAAAGAGTGATGGGGGTGACCCATACACTTGGTACTTGGTACCTAGATTGTTGTTCCCCCTCATCAGAGGGAGAGGCCTTGGGCCTTTTTAGGTGGAGAGATGAGGGCCTGGCCGCTCATGTATAGGAGAGAAGGGGGCATTGGGCCGTTTGTAGAATATGTAGGTGATGAAGGCTTGGCCTTTTGATTATTCTTCAAAAACAGACGGGGCCTTGGGCCATTGATCATTTACACTTGTTGAGGATGAGGGCTTGGCCACTCATTGGTAAAACTTCACTAGGTGGTGCACATTCCAATGTCTAGGAATCTCTGTCCCATTAGGACGTTTTAACTTGTATGTCCCCGGTTTGATGATGGCTGAGATGATGTAGGGGCCTTCAAACTTGGGTGCCATCTTTCCTCCTTCGGTGGGTAGACTGGCCTCCCTTCGCCGGAGGACGTAGTCTCCCACCTGGAATTCCCGGGAGCGGACTTTGGCGTCGATGTAGCCTTTGACTTGCCTCCTATAGTTTTCGGCCCTGAGGAAAGCTTGCTCTCGGCGTTCTGATATGAGATGAAGGTCGAGGGCCATGTTGGCGTCGTTGGCCTCGGGCTCATATTGTTCCACCCTTCGGGTCGGAAGGGTCACTTCTGTTGGAGCCTTAGCCTCAAAGGCATAGCATAGGGAGAAGGGTGTTTCGCCTGTCGCCCGCCGAGGGGTGGTGCGGTAGGCCCATAAGATGTTGTGAAGCTCTTCTACCCAGCCTCCCCCTTCGGCTTCCAGCTTTTTCTTCAATCCTTCAAGTAGGGTTCGGTTGGCGTTCTCCACTTGCCCGTTGCCCTGAGGGTAGGCGACGGAAGAGAATGTGTGCTTGATGCCCCAAGCCTCAAGGAGGGCACAGAAGGGGGCTGCCTCGAATTGAGTCCCGTTGTCGGAGATGATTTGTTGGGGGACGCCAAACCTTGTGAGAATGTTCTTGAGGACGAAGTGACGGCACCGGGCCTCCGTGATGCTGGCGAGGGGTTCGGCTTCTACCCATTTGGTGAAGTAGTCAATGGCCACAATGATATACCTGTTGTTGGAGGTACCCCTCGGCAGAGGGCCTACCAAGTCGATCCCCCATCTGGAGAAGGGTATAGCGGTGCTGATGGGGGCATAGTTGACCGCTGGTCTGCCGGGGGCTTTCTGAAAGTGTTGGCAAGCGGTGCACTTCCGGGCTAGATCAGCACAATCCCTAGCCATCGTGGGCCAGAAGTAACCTTGAACAATGAGCCTTCGGGACATGGAGAAGGGTCCCTGGTGAGCTGAGCAAGTGCCACTGTGCACTTCTTCCATGGCGACTTCGGCTTCATCTTGATGAAGGCACCGAAGGAGGGTGCCGTTGTAAGATCTCTTGTAAAGCCTCCCGTTTTCGAGGGTATAGCTGGGAGCCCTCAGTTTTGCTAACTTGGCGCGAGCTTCGTCTTGGGGCAATTGCCCTGTGGTGATGAAGGCGACGATGTCAGAGATCCAGTCCTCCGGCCTTGGGTTAATGCTCATGACGGGGCTCGCGTGGATGCTTGAGAGGCTAAGTTCCTCAATTCTTGCAATTTTTGAGAGGTGTTCGGGGGATTCATCCGAAAGTTTGGACAGAATGTCGGCCTCAGAGTTTTGAGCCCTCGGTATTTGGGTGAGGGAATGTGCCTCAAATACCTTAAGCAACTCCTTGGCAGCCTCCTTGTATTGTTTCATCCTCCCTTCTTTGGCTTCGTACTCCCCGGAGATTTGACCCACGACGAGTTTGGAGTCACATTTGACGTGGATCATTTTAGCCTTCAGGTTCGCTGCCAGCCGAAGGCCACAGAGGAGGGCTTCGTACTCGGCCTCGTTGTTGGAGACTTTGAAGGAGAAGCGGATGGCATAATAGGCGCGGAAGCCCTCGGGTGTGATGAGAACTACTCCCCCTCCGCATGCTTTGGTAGCCGAGGAGCCGTCGGTATAGAGGGTCCACCACTCATCCGGGGGTGCCGAAGGCTCCTCATCCACCGCTGATCTCGTGGTGCATTCCGTTACGAAATCTGCCAGGGCTTGGCCCTTGATGGCAGGCCTCGGACGGATATCTATGTTGTATTGGCTGAGGAAGATGGCCCATTTCACCATCCGAGAGGAGCTAGTGGGACTCCTCATGAGGGCACTGAGGGGTTGATGAGTGAGCACTTGGACCGGGTGAGCTTGAAAGTAGTGGCCAAGCTTCTTGACGGTCCAAACGATGGCTAGCACCGTCTTCTCGACGGGAGAATACCTGAGTTCGGCTTCCCGGAGGGTTTTGCTGACGTAGAAGATGGCATGTTGGATGCCGTCTTCTTCTCGGATTAGTACTGAGCTGATAGCCGCAGGGCTAACACCGAGATATAAGTATAAAGTCTCCCCCACCTTTGGTTTGGAGAGCACTGGGGGAGAGGAGAGGTACTTCTTGAGTTCGTCGAAGGCCTCTTGACACTCAGGTGTCCATTGAAAACCCGCCGTCTTCCTCATGATTTGGAAGAAGGGGAGGGCCCTCTCGGCTGACTTAGAGAGGAATCGGTTGAGGGCCGCCAGGCGACCCGTCAGCCGTTGAACTTCTTTGACGTTGCGTGGAGGCTCCATGTTGATGATGGCCTGAATCTTCTCGGGGTTGGCCTCAATACCCCTTCGGCTGACCATGTAGCCCAAGAACTTTCCTCCCTGCACGCCGAAGGTGCACTTCTTTGGATTTAGCCGGAGGTTGAATTTTTGCATGATGGCAAAAATTTCCCGGAGGTCGTCGGCGTGAGTGTTGGCCTTTTTGCTTTTGACGATCATGTCGTCAACGTAGGCCTCCATGGTGCGTCCTAGGACAGCTCGGAAGACCCTAGCCACCATGCGTGTGTAGGTGGCGCCTGAGTTTTTGAGGCCGAAGGCCATCACAAGATAGCAGAAGATGCCTTCGGGTGTCATGAAGGCTGTTTTTTCAGCGTCTTCCTCATGCATGTAGATTTGATGATATCCGCGGAATGCGTCGAGGAATGACATGATTTCGCATCCAGCGGTCTCATCCACCAATTGGTCAATGTTTGGCAGTGGGAAGGGGTCCATGGGGCATGCCTTATTCAGATCCGTATAGTCCACGCACATGCGGAAGGTAGGAGGCTTCTGTGCGAGGACTACGTTTGCCAACCAAGAAGGGTATTTCACCTCCTTGATGTGTTTGATGGAGAGGAGCATAGATACCTCCTTCTTCACGAACTCCCTTCTCTCGGCCGAGAGGGGTCTTCTCCGTTGCTGCACTGGTCTGGCCGAAGGGTCTACTGCCAGGCGGTGGGTGATAACCCTTCGGTCAATTCCTGGCATATCCTCCGGCCCCCATGCAAAAACAATGGAGTAGGCGCGGAGGGCTTTGGTGATGCCAGTCTTCAAGTCTTCGGGGAGCTTGGCTCCAATCTTCAGGACTCTCTCCGGCTTGGCCGGATCGAGTATCAAGTCTTCGGTCTCCTTGGCAGGCTCAGCCCTCGGCCTACTCTCTTCTTCCTCCAAGGCCTTGGCGGTGATGGTGTCCACACGAAACTCGGTTTTACTAACCTTCTTGGTGAGTTGGAGGTAGCAGGCCCTGGAGAGTTTCTGGTTCCCCTTTGAATAGCCGATGCCGGTGGGTGTAGGGAATTTGAGGCAAAGGTGTTTCATGGAGATGACGGCTTCTAAGTCCTCGAGGGCAGGCCGGCCGAGGATGATGTTGTGCGCGCAGTCGAGGTTGACGACGACGAATTCCACTTCGAGCTTGGCTCTATGGGACCCGTCGCCGAATTCAACCGCTAGGGTGATGACGCCTTCGGCGTCTACGCTATCCCCCGTAAATACGGAGAGGGGGGTGTTGATGTGCCGAAGGGACCCCCTATCGAGTCCCAACTCTTGAAAAGTGCTGAGATACATGACGTTGACAGAACTCCCCGTGTCGACGTAAGTCCGGTGGATGATGGCGTCATTGATCTCCGTGCGGATGACGAGGGCGTCCCTATGCGGCAGAGAACCCGAGGGGAGGTCCGCATCTGTGAAGAAGATTGGATCCGCCCTCGGCCTTTTAGTTGGGGGCACGTGATTGACTTCCCCGATGTAAAGGGACTGTGCCCATTTCTTCCTTTGGCTTGTTGAATCGCCTCCGGTGTTGCCGCCGTTGATCATATGAATATGGCGCTTGTATTGTTGATGGGAGCCCTCTCCCTCGTCGTCGAGGCCCCCAATTTCTCGCTTCTTCCCCTGTGGGTTTCCCAAGGGGATGGTGTTGGGGTTCACCCATTTGTTAGCCTTCGGCGGAGGCCCTTGATGGTGAAGGGGGCCCTGGGGAGGAGGGCCCCTGATAAATTGGGACAAGTGGCCCGCCTGTATCAACCTTTCAATGGCATTTTTTAGCTGATGGCAGTCGTCGGTCTTGTGCCCGTGGTGGCGGTGGAAGCGGCAATATGGCTCATCAGGGCCGATGGCGTAGATCTCGAGGGGTGTACGGGAGTCTCGCTCGACGAGCCCCCGCTCTTCTGCATGATCAAGAATGACGCTGACGGGATGCGTCAAGGGGGTGCGTGGGTGCTCAAGGAGGACGGGTTGCGCCCATGCCTTCGGATTGTTTTTGTAACCGCCCCCGGGTCTGGCTTGGCTACCCCGAGAGCGATCGTTGTACTGTACCTCTCGGTTGACCGGAGGGGGAGGCCCTCCGGGCCGATTCCTGCCTTCATTCTTTTGAGAAGGATACGTGTTGCGGCGGTCCTTCTCGATTTCCTCCGCTTCAGCATATCGGTCCCCCCGCTGAAGGGCCTTTGTATAATCGCGGGGGGGATCAGTGATAAGGCTCCGGGAGAAGTTACCGTTGCGGAGGACGGTGTGGAAGAGGGCTATTAGTGTCCTGTCATCAGCGCCTTCGACCTCGAGGGAGGCCTGCCTCCAGCGTTCCAGGAAACTCCGAAGGGTTTCCTCCTTCTGTTGTCTCACGTTTAGAAGGTGGGAAAAGTGCTTCTTTGAGCGATGCCTCCCAGCAAATTGCGTAAGGAAGCGGTGGGCAAGTTCTTGCCAAGAATCAATGCTGCCTTCGGGCAACCGGTTGAACCACTCATACGCGGGTCCCTCCAAGGTGGAAAGGAACCAACGGCATAAGTATTCATCCGATGCCCCCATCATCATCATGCTGTTCTGATAACGGCTATAGTGCTCCTGGGGATCCGTCTTCCCCTCATACGGCTTGATGGGTTGCCCCCGATATTTGTGGGGGATTTTGGCCGCCAACACCCTTGGGGTGAAGGGTGTTCTAGTGCGGAGTTGAATGAGGGGCTCGCCTGAGCCTTCGGCAAGTTTACGTTTCATTTCCTCCACCTGTGCTCGGAGGTCAGCGTACTCCGGATCTGGCCTAGCTGTGGAAGCCGCCGGCGGTGCCTGACGATTCTCCTCGAGTTGCCGGAGGAGGGCTTCAATGATTTCGTCCTTGGGATCCTTCGGGGCAACCCCTTGGGAGTTGGCCCGGAAGGATTGCGCCTGATTGATTTGGTGTCTGGCGTCATCGGTATGGAGGAGGGCTTTGCCTTTGCTTCGGGGGGGAGGTACGCCCTCGGCACCCAAAGCGGAGGCTCCGCTTTCCTGGGGCCTGCTGAGCGCCTGTTTCCCGAGGCGGTCTTGGACCCCTCGGGACCCGGGAGCTCCCCCTAGCCTCTCGAGTGCAGAGGTTCGGAGCTTCTCTTTCATCATGGGGCGCTTGTCCCTGGATTGAGCCTCCTGGGAGGCGGTATCCTGCGCTATGACCCCTTCGTGGTTTCCAACCCCCGGGGGAGGGTTGTTGAACAAAGGAGGGAGTGGTGGTAGGTTGATAACATTCCCTCCAGCATAGGGCTGAAGGGGTGCCTGAAAGGCGAGGGCTCCGGAATTGAGAGCCATGTTTTGAACAAAGGCCGCAAAGGCAGCCTGAAGATCGATGGCCGAGGCCGGAGGAGGAACTTGGTTCTCACTCCGATCCCTCCTTCGATTATCAAGGCCAATGCGGGCATCAGGGGCATTCTTCTGTAGCTGCTGACGGAGGTCAGCAGTAGCCTGCTCTAATTCGAGGATGATACCACCCTCCGGCACTAAGAGCCTGTTGGAGGCCTCAGCTCCGTTGGTTTCGCCGGGGGCTACGTGGTTCTCCTCCAGGGTTTTAGATTGGGCACGGGTGGTTCTTCCCATTTTTGGTGAGTGTTTTGGGTTTGGTAGAAGGGGAGGGTTTCTTACTTGATAGTTCAGACCTCTCAACGAGAGCACCAAATGATGGATAGTCTACCCGGGGGGTATCTTATCCGAGGGGTTATTGCGGGAATAACTAGAGAGAAGTCAGAGCAAAATAGGAGGAGAGAGAGTCGATTTATTAAATGAACTCAGCGTGTGGAGTTGAGATGTAGATGATCATTTACAAGGAGAAATGGGCTGCTATTTATAGCAGCAATAAATGCGATGAGAGGACACGTGTCAGTAATCCAACGGCCGAAGGGTCACATCAGCCTGGTGGCACCGGCAGTGGTACGTCAACCGCATTGAATGCGGTTGGCGGATGCGACGTGGCATTAAATGCGGTGGTTGGCTGTCTCTAAAAGGAATCTTCGATGATTGAGCTTGTTCAGCCGAAGGCTCCTTGTGTAGCCGAGGGCTCCTTGTGTAGACGAGGGCTCCTTGTGTAGCCGAGGGCTCCAATGCTACCGAAGGCTTGGTTCAGCCGAAGGCTTCCCCTGGTGCCGAGGGCATGAGAATGCCGAAGGCTCATGTCCTCGCCCGTTTTCTCCCAGCAGCTTCTTATGCCAGAGAAGGCTATCCTGTGAGTTTTGGAGCCTTCGGCCAAGGAGGCCGAAGGCCCCCAGTGTGTATTCTGGGCTACTTTGAGGCTTGGGCCGTTGTATCTGGGCCTGAGTTGTCTCCTGAGCTCAATGGACTTGTGTAGGAGAAGTAGGAGTCTATGGGCCGGGGGTTCCTGGGCCATATACTCCATCAGCACCTATCCAAAAAAAGGTGGTAGTGACATTTACAAAAGGTGGAAAATCAGAATAGTGAATGCAAAACATACTGCTCATCTATAACAACGATATCCCATGCCGGTTTTTGGACGCCATTGGAGTAAACAAAGGTGCGCGGTAATTTTTTCACAATTGCAGCCAAGACATCCGTATCATGTTTTAAGGAAATTAGGGAATATGCACATATGAAAGATAGGGAACTGAAAGAACACATGGTGAGAAAAGAAAAACTTACTAATACGTTCACTATGCATATAACACGCAAATATCTCAGTAAAAGGGGTGGTGTCTGCCTCTGCCAATTGGCGAAAATCTTGTCCCTCTTCAACAGGAACATCTTGGATCAAGGTACGCCGAGTGAACGACCAAACATATGGGTATGCATTGTCAACACAGAAACGGATGTCGGTGATTGTCTTCACATATGCATTTGAAACAAGATAGGTAGAGTACAAAGTAAGGCGTTGGTCGATCCCTTCAATGTCCCCCTGGAATGCAGTCGCCTGAACTTTGGTCCCCTTTGAAAGTATTAGATAGCCAATTAGGAAGGCAGACATGCTAAATAGAAATAAATACTGCATGAAATCAAAGTGCGGGGAGCATACAGTTGAGTCCATCAGTATCATCGGCATAAATTTTATGGGAGAAGCCTTGGCACTGCGTACATTTTGCTTTTCCACTACGGTGACGCGGTAGGTCCATGGTCTAGTGTCGGGCCTTATAGAAAGGATTGGTAACTCAGCAGCCATTTCGGATGGGTCACTGCATTGAAAAAATAAAACACATTAAGACAGAATAGTAAATGGTTATAATTGCAAAATAGTGAAAAAACGTGAATATCTTACCAACAAACAAAATCTAGAGAATAAAAGGCAATATCTCTTCAAACACAACATTTGGCGTGGTATTAGCCAATACTGGTTTGGGATCATCAGGGCAAATGACAATTTTAATTGAATTGGCGTTCCGAGCCCTAGACATTGCAACATAGAGTTGGCCATGAGAAAAGACAGGTTCCTTCAAATATATGCCAACGAAGTCAAGTGTTTGGCCCTGGGATTTGTTGATTGTCATCGCAAAGCAAACTTTGACAGGAAACTGGATTCGTTTAAATGGTACAGGGCAATTTTCATCTCTGGATACTTCCAGGGGGATTTTTGGTATAAAGACATGTTTTCCCTTGTGGTCACCCGTAGCAATGTAGCAGCTCAGGATGTGATCACCAAACGCATCACAAATCAAACGTGTGCCGTTGCACAAACCTTCGCAAGGATTTAGATTACGTAGCAGCATGATCGGGCAATTATGCTTCAAGTTCAATTTATGAGGGGGTAATCCGGTTGGGGACAAAGTGTGCAAATAATCTTCACAATGTGTATTCTTTGCATCATTAGGAATATCGTGGCTAAGAAACGTATGCGCATCCCCAGGGAACTTATTCATAAGGGATACGTTAATGAAATCTACAATGTCGTTCTTTGTTGTTAGTATTGCACGCGCCATCAGAGAGTAGGGATCATTCTCAAACACATACAGGTCTGGGTAGACAGCAGCAAAGAGTAATTCTAATGTCACAGTTTCATTGATCCACGGAAGCAGAAAAGTGGAAGGGATTTTTATTCGGTTTGGGAAAATTTTAGGTTCACTTCCATTGCCAATCCGTAAAAGGTAGTCACAAAAGCCTGGATCTTCATGGGCGCGCATATTCATCACAAGACGTAACCGATGGACGTGGGGCCATATTGTCATTGACCTAACCAAGCAAGCATCCACAAAGTCATGCCTTGTGCCTGCACGTACAACAGGCAAAGTTTGTCTGAAATCACCACCAAACACCATAACACGGCCTCCAAAAAGTGAATCATTGTCTAGTATATCTCTCATTGTGGTATCTAAGCTTTCAACAATCTTGCGGTTCGCCATGGATGCTTCATCCCATAGAATAAGGCGTGCTTCTCTAAGAAGTCGGGCCTCAGAGGACTGTTTGCCAATATTGCAAATGTACCTAGATTCTCCGTCAAGTGGCAGTTTAAAGCGCGAATGGGCTGTGCGGCCTCCTGGTAGAATAGATGCAGCAATGCCTGAACTGGCAGTTGCAAGGGCTATCCATTTGTTGGTCCTGGTGGCAGCAAGCAAGCATCTGTACAAAAAACTTTTTCCTGTTCCCCCTGGACCGTCAACGAAGAAGACACCGCCCTGACAAGCGTGAACAGCTGCCATTACTGTGTCAAACGCTTCTCGCTGCTGAGGGTTCAACATTGAAATGTCACCTAAGTCAGCATCATTAACAACTATGCCAAGTTCTGCTAATACCTCTCGTGTGGACCCCTCGGTAGAATTGTCGCGCAGTTCAATATCAACCAAATTAAAAGAATCTATATCCTTTCCCATTTTAGCAAAAAGATCGCGCAACAATAGGAGTGTTGCCTTTTCAGCAGCTACAATGGGTTGAAAACGCGTTAAATCCTCACACAGATGAGCCTTGTATTCATCCCACAAGGCACGCGGGTTTGGCACATCTGAAAAACACATATGCGTGGCAAATAGTTTGCGCAGGCTTGATGGCAGCTGGAACAATACTGCTTCATCAAGGGATGCACGTATGACAAAATCACCTGACAAAAGGCCTAGGCGTTCAGCTGCAGCCCTGTATGTTGGCATTTCAACATTGTCAATTGTCCTAAGATGTGTAAATGAGGTTGGGCACCGCACATTAGACAGTAAGAGACGTAAATAGTAACGCTCCCCCTCAGTGGGATTCACAGAGACAAGTCTGCCAAGAACTTCTTTCCTTTTGCGTTGAGTCCATCCTTTGTGTGTCCCATTCCACACAAAGTAATGCGGAAATTCAACATAGAGGAGGTGGAGTGATTTAGCAACGTGATGGGTCAAGTTCATGAGAAAGAACTCAGTGAGCATAGTTTTGGTGGATTCAGGTGTTTGCGTGATATATGTTATGCTTTGGTTGCCATAAAAGGTAAGATATTGAGAACATTCCAAATGAACATGCAGCTGAAGAACAGCGGGGCGCATCTCCGACATTGGAAAGCTGAACATGCGCCACGCAGCTTCAGCAGCAGAAACCCAGCGGGCTTTTTGAAAGTCAGCAATTTCATCAATAACCTCATCCTGCCGTGCCTCCGTTAAAGACATGCTAACCCTATCATGACCCTTGTAAACGTATTTGTATATGTATTTAACTGATTTTACGCTTGCACAAACTTCCACATTAATGTGGCAGTCATACTTGCGTAATAGTTGGGTATTGTAAGGGACAACCCACCGGTTGTCGAGGCAATGTTTTCTGACATGCACAGTAACCCCTAGTTCCCGTCGCCTATATGCAGGGAAACAGTCTTCGTCAAATAGGGTGACAGGAGAAAAACTACGTGGATATTTACTCCTACAAATGGGGGTTGTTGAACCGTGCGATAAAGTCATGCAAGGACAATGCGGGTTCATCTCACCACAAGGGCCATGCATCATATGTTTTTTGACCAGGTTATACATGGATAGATCTGCAACAGGGTCGGGCAGTTCAGCACAAATCAACTTATCACATCGAAAAGCAGTGGTTATCTTACATTCTCTCGGAAGTATGAGCAGGAAATGAGCATGGGGAAGGCCCCTTTTTTGAAATTCAATGACGTATGTGTACGCAACTACCTTACCAAACAGAGAACCGCACAAGATGTCTTTTTTGAAGGACTCTAGACGGGCACGAAATACACGAGCGACAAGGTCGGGACGGTTCTGGGCTTCATCAACGAATCTTAGACGTTCTTTAATTTCAGGCCAGTTTGGATTGCAGGTAATCGTAATGAACAAATCTGGTTTACCATAATGCTGAACAAGCGCCATCGCATCCATGTAGCGGCCACGCATGTCACGCGGCCCGCCAATGAATGATCCTGGCAGTATTACACGGCGTCCTACGTCGTTAGTGTTCTGTATACCTGCAGCCATGCTGTCAACCAAACCCTGGTACGTTTCACCACGATGGTCACGTTGTTTGCTGCGGTAATAATCAAGGCGCTGTGTTTCAATCTTCACATATAGGTCTACCATGTATTGCTGAAAGAGGCGGCCAGAGTGCACGACAAGTGAGGTATCTGCAGAACGCAGTTGCAATTTGTAGGCGTAATACTGGCGGCAGGAAACAGAATGCCTTTTGCTGCCCACAGTAAGTTGATGCTCCTCCCCCGCGATGAGTGATTCAGCCGTTTCACTCTGGTTGTGATTAGTGGCAATGGAGATTGAAGGAGCTGAAGCACCACGTGGGAGTGCAACAAGATTTTTCGGAATCCCCTCGTGCCAGCCCACTTCTCCCCGCGAAAATAAGAGCGGATATTGCAGCGGATCGTAACACCCATAGTAATAATGCACATTCTGGGACTTCCCGCTGTGAGCGTAGACACGAATATTCCGGTTTGCAGGCATACCTTCATACCCATCCTCAACCCAGACCGCAGCAACTTGGGATGATGTTGGCCGGTTATAAACGCGCTGATCCAGGCTGGGATTACTGTTAAGTATAATAGAAAATTCACCTGCATGATCAATTTCGGCCAACGATTTGAAGAATTGTGCATAAGGGTTTGCATCAAGAACTTCCATCAGCACTTGTACTACCTCTGTGTCCAGACGTTCTGTTGAATCCAATCTGCTAGCAACTGCGTGGTCCGTGTCATAAAAATATAGTTGCAAATTACGGGGTGGACAACCATCAGGCAACAAGTCATTTATAAAGTGATATATTTGACCCTGAACTCTGAATGTGTAAATTCCCTGGTTTCGCCGGCAAAGATTCTTGTCATAGTTGTATATTCCAATGGAGGTGAAGGCAAAAGTGTTGTTGTACGTGCGAACGCATGAACGAAAGTGGGTGGCCAAGGGGTCTCGGGATGTGTAAAGGCGAGCAAGTTGTTGAGGCATTTCAGTAGAGGTGAGGACGACTTCTCCCTTACTACAGCACAGACCCGCTGGCTCATATTGAAGCCGCTGGGCACCGCAAAATACGCAATCAGGAACATTCTGAAGGCGATACGCGGCAACGGCTATAGCAGCTGAGCTGCTACATTCAGCTTCTGAATTCTGTGCAGGAACTGCCACTGACATGGTAAGCTAGTTCAAGATGACGCAAAGGGAACACAAAGTATGTTAAAGTGATAAAGGCAAAGACAAGGCCGGTTTGAGAATGTGGCAAAGCGTTCAAAAAAATTGCAGAAAATTCAAGAGGGATACAGACAAATGGTTATTGTTATGTGGGAAAATGGTTCAGCGAAATTGAATTTTGTGCACAGTATATTCCACCATAGTAAAGAAAGAGTATTTCAAAGGCAACCACAAATATCACCGTCACAGAGTAACATGGAATAGGTAAGTATTTTAGGTTGGAAAGAAGGGATATTTTTTAAAGCAACACACGAACACGTTAGAGGACATTACTAATAGGTGCATAAGCCAAAGTATGTAACACGAACTGACATACAAACGGCGCCAGACCTGAAGGAATTGTTTTTGTGCAAATACGATCACCAGAGACACCACAATGACCCAACACAGCACGCTTGTCTGCAACACGCCGCCTGTATGTTTCTCTCCGACGTTGCAGGCGACGTTCACGCCTTTCATGGGCAAGCACCTGACAGTCCAAACCACTGGGTTGGACCATAACCCAGCTGCGGCATAACACCATAACGTACACTTCATTACCCCAACAGTCACAACATCACCCTACTTCCTTGCCAGACTCAAAGGTTGGTGTTTTTCACACATAAATACACAATCACATTAAATTTAAAGCAAGAGCACCACAAAAAAAATATGCAGTTAAAGCTCTTACAAACACCTAGTACACCGACCATTCAACATAGGCGTTTTTTTAAAAACAAACCAATATGAACACTTCATAACAATTTAGCAAAATGACAAAGAAATACATTGTACACACATCCCCATTAATGCATCCGATGGTGAACAGTGCGGATGGAGCACAAAATATAACACACAAACAAATACATGACCAATATAAAACGCATACCATCAATACAACATGAACATGAATAGCAAACACTTACAATTTCAGCAATTCAAAGGACTGCAGCAGCAAGACCTGCCAACATGGAAATAACAAAACATCCACCGCAAATTAAAACCAGGGAAACAAAGATAACAACAAACACCGCAGCTAACTATTCATAAATCTCATAAGAGGGGTCAACATAAACACCACACAACACCATCCTACCAAAAGACAAAACAACGGGAAAAAATAGCCAAAACAAAATCTCAAACATAGCACAATACAAGCCCAGCACAAGATATGTAGCACAAGAAAGGATTCTCGAACACACCAACACCAGATTTCAATTGCAGAACCATATTACCGCACCCCAGCAGTGCAATAAAATAAATATATAAGTGATTTGCGACGTAGGAAATTCAACCCAAAAAAAAAGTATCCACTATAAACAAAAGAAAATCAAAGGCTAAACATAGAAGTGAAAGTACTTCGTGCCTATATATTTGTGTGTTTTCTGTCTAATGTGTTTATGCATATATGCTAGCTGCCAATCAATTGGTAAGAATATGAGCTTGCCATATCTATGTTTTCAGATTCTAATTTATTCCATAAACAGAAAAACAAAAAATCATCTCAAATAAATAATGACAAAATCACTCACAGCTTAAGAACAGCAAGCAAAGAGCTGGGCAAACATGAACTCAGAAACCGGACAATTGAAACGAAATTACCCCCGCTATCTTATAATACTCAGCCGAAAAGGAGGCAAACAGTACAAGGATAGGGCGCACAGATTGGAGTATTGTCAGAGATATTTCTAGAGTGTCAATCAGCCCATACGCTTTGATGCCACGACCAGGAATCAATTTGCAGCGCTGGCGGAAAGCGAGGGAAGAAAACGGAAGGATTCTGTTAGTTAGGACCTGCGTAATAAAACAAAGACAACCGTTACACTGTACAAACGGGAAAAAGCCCAAGTTAACCCCCTTACGCAATTTAAATATAAGCAGATTCAGAGTAATGTGGACTACTAACTGAGTTCGGTTAACACAATCTCTCTGTAATTTTATCTCCACCCTTACACTAAATTCAACAACGGTTTAGTTGAAGAAACTTTGTAATAGTGACACAACTCTTGCACTTACTGAATCATTTTCCAGGTACATTAACAATCAAGCTTCCTACTGTTGTCTTCGGCCAGCTCTTCAAGTTTGCAGATGGTATGGAATATGTTCTGATATGAATCAGATTATGCTAGCTAGTACTTGATTATTTTATGTCGTTTTCTGTCAGTACTTGATTTTTTCATTATAATAATGTGACCTTTCATAGTTTTCATAATTTTTGCTGTGTTCTGTGGTTAACTGTAGTAGTAAAAATTTTTATTATTATTTTCGGCGGTTAATGATTGAACCTGACCATGTGGGGAAGCGGGAGCTTGAAATTGTGCAAGAGAATGAGCACATATGCTTTACCTGTAGAATATATTGATTATATTTGCTTTTTTCTCCAGCTGATTAATTGTGTATGAGTTTGTTCCAGCTTTATTCTATTAAAAATGAGAGTATACAGATTCGATTCCTGATTCCATACTTGTTCACATTAGTTGGTATGACTTTGAAACATAACCCATTAGATAAATTTTATTACTTTTATTACTTATGCTATAAAAATTTGCCAAATTTTCATGGCACGTTTTTAGACCTCTGATCCTTTTCATGGCACAGTCTAAGGTAAGTATAAATTACTTATGATATCCAATATATAAAATAAATCACCATTTTGAAAATAAGGCTTCAAATATGGGAAAGTTCCCGAAATAGGACTAAAAGAGTTTGAAAATTCCAAAATAGGACTGACATGTTTTTATTCCCAAAATAGGAGTGATTACTGCCAAGTTTCGAAAATACTGCCATGTTTGAAGTCTGGTACTGCCAAAACATGTCATTAATTAGTCCTGTTTTGGGAATAAAAACATGGCAAGCCTATTTTGGAATTTTCAAACTCTTTGTCCTATTTTGGGTAATATCTCTTCAAATATCCATTTCTACAACTGTAGTTGAGGTTTTGGGTTCCCCAAATGAAATATGCTTGATTTTGTTTTCGCCAATAAATGTTTTTTTTTTTTTTGGTAAAACTTCGCCAATAAATGTTAGTCATGATGCAAAGTGCTTTCTGATAATAAAGGTTATTCATGATGCAAAGTACTTTCTGATAAAGTGATAAGTCTTGTGCTAATCTAAACATTTTTTCCATTGGTTGAGATTTGAAAGGCAACTTTTAGTCCGTATCTTACCCATTTCACCATATCTATTGCCTTGAGAGTTTGAACTCACGTCTTCTTACTTAATTACTCTTATTTGAACTCTGGTGTTCCAATTGAAGTCCGTTGAAATGATTCCAAAGAAGAGCATGGATAGCTTGAATGTGATCAAGTAGTATTTTCTAAACTTATACCTATATCTATCGAAAGATAACTCCAGGTCATAACTCTCTTCAGTTGAATTCCTCCATATCTAACTGTTCAGCATTGCTTCTGGTTCAGATTTAAAGTGATGTTGCAAAATTTCTTAGTGAACTGATGGAGGAGTTCAAAATTGACAAATTCCTGGGTGTGTTTTGACTCTTTTCTTGAGTACAGGTTAAGTATTTATCATTTGATTAGTTGAATATTCCCTTTTATAATGTGTTTGTTGGCCTCATTCTAACTAAACTGTATTATATTGCAGATTTGCAGTTTTTTCGATGAGTTATTCCATCAGCCTTTGTATTAATAATTGAGGATGTTCCTGTGAAACCCTTTGTTGATCGCATAGCCTAAAATTGCTAAAAACATGTATGAGGACATCTAAGAAGATAGATTCATCTGCCTCCAACACAAGTTTGCACTTTTATTGGATTGAACTCTTAAATGGTATTCACTATTCTGATCCAGACAAGTCCCACACAAGTTTACCTTGCAAACCTTTGAGTCCACTCTACTAACCAAACATAAATGTATCAGGAATCGTAAACATAGATTTGAGAGCAAGTAACACCGGGGGCGGATCCAGTGTGGGGGCAGGGGGCAGCTGCCCCCACTCAACCTCAATATATACATATGAAATGTAAAAATTATACATGTAGATATGTACTAAATAAATGTATCTTATATATTAATATGGAGCATGACAACTAAATGCCTCCGTAGCAGACTGGAGGTTGCTCTCACGCTGAAACAGCTAGGTTGCATACTATTTAACAAGAAGTCAGTGTTAGTAATTTTGTTGTCGATCAAACTTAAATCATCAAAATGCTTTAACAGGTATTCTTTACACCTTTCATGAGGCAGTTATAGACTTAAGTGAGAGTATCGGCTGCAACAGGGGCAAAAAATTTAAAGATTTGTTTATCTACACAAGTAGATGGTATACGTAGTGGAAAATATTTATATACATCGTATATGTTTTCTATTACTTGCAAGGGTAATATCCTATCTACTAGATGATGTATTATGATTATAGTTGAATGATATGCAGTGGGTGATGGTCAATTTTCCTGTGGAACAAAGGTAAATAGATTTGAACTTTGTGTGCTTACTGTTTAGATAAGAAAGAGCAATGGCATAATAACTCTATTGAGTGCAAGTGTTCATACATGTTCGATAAATAATGTTGTGTATGTGTGAATGACGTGCACTTTGTTGTGTGTGCACTCAAAATAAATTCAATACTAACAACTATACGTAGTTATGCCTGGACTCGGGCCCGGTTCGGGCCTGGGCCCGGCCGGGCCTCGGGCCAGGAAAGGGAGGCCCGAGCCCGAACCGCCGGTGGCCGGTTCCGGTCCCGGTTCCGGGCCAAACCGGGCCGAGCCGGGCCGGGCCGAACCGGCCCAATAATTTTTTTTTTTTTTTTTGTTCTCCTATTTAATCCCCTACCCCTCCCCCTCAACCCCAAACCATCCCAAACCACCTCAAATGGCCCAAAATACCTAATCCAACCTAAAACTTAAAAAAATTTCAAAAAAAAAAAAAAAAAAAAATTAAAATCCGGCCCGGACCGGGCCCGAACCGGCCGGGCCGGTTCACCAAAACCTGGGCCCGGGCCCGAACCGCCCAGCAGCCGGGCCGGGCCGAACCGAACCGAGGGACCCACCGGGCCGGGCCGGGCCAAATAGTAACCGGGCCGGGCCGGGCCGGTTCCGGGCCGGGCCGGGCCGGTTCCGGGCCGGGCCGCCCGGCCCGAGTCCAGCACTATACGTAGTATAGCGTAGTAGAGTTCGTATCCACAGGGAAAGGAATAACTCTCTTTTCATGTAACTAGTAAATAAAGGGGGGTTTTGATTGAGTGATTTGATTAAAATTAAACACGAAGATGAACGAGTTATATGAGTTTTAATTCAAAGATTAAAGGGACTTGACTTGCTACTTTACACTTGTTGATATATTTTAGTCGATCATTGTTATATCTATAACTTATCTTCTCTCGAATACTCAATCGAGGAGTATATCCAATTCATCGAGGATAGTTATTAACAACGACCGTTCATTAATAACTCTTACTATTAGTCAAGTATAGAACAACGCCATATACCGACTTGATAGATTAAGAGAATAATTAATATAGAACAACGTCAAGTATAGAACAACGCCATTAACAATCGAGGAGTATACCCTTACTATTAACATATAGATAGATTAAGAGAATAATTAATATTCAAGGGAAGAAGTTAAGAAAATAACTCACAACTTTAATAATCAACAAGCTTCAAGAGCAATACCAAGAAATGGAAGTTTAGCTCCTCATTTGGAGACTAAACATGCTAGAAGAAATATAAAGAAATGCTATTCTAAACTGAGCTTAAGAGTATAAAGGAATTGGTATCTAATTGTGAAGGAAAGGAGGTGTATTTATATGCTTTTTGGGGTGCAGGTCGGGTACTCGATCGAGTATATACAGATACTCGATCGAGTATGTGTAGAAACTCGAATTCGATCCATACTCGATCGATATTCGAGTAAAATTTATAGCTATACCTGATCGAGTATGTCGGTGTACCTGATCGGGTATAGACATTCGATCGTGTCACAATCTTCCCTGCATGTTCCTTTGTTTTCGGATCCGATCCGATTTGAAATTTCAACAAGATACCCAATCGAGTATAGATGATACTCGACCGGGTATAGACCAAAAATCGGGATCTTCCCTTTTGTCTTGTGATTTTGCACCTTCCTTCCACTTTTGGGGTTCACCAACTGTCCTTTGAGTGATAGTAGACCAGTTTGAGCTCAGAATAAACCTAATCTAAACAATTTACAAGAATTTAACAAACTAAACTATTACACCAAAAATGTGTAATTTCCGAAATATTAAACAACCAAAACTAACTAAAAACGTAAATAAACACACGGAAATTACAAGCGTATCAATGAACACCGTATTACATTAGTATGTATTGTGTTAATAGTCTGCATTTGAAGATCATATTACTCAATCAATATTTTATTCCTAGAAATTAGTTTATTTCACTTTGTTAACGGTAGGGAGGGTATGCCTTCTAGGAGTTGCTAGCTAATAGTCTGCTTTTGAAGATCATATTACTCGATAAATATTTTTTTGCCTATAAATTAGTTTATTTCGTTTTGTTAATGGGAGGGAGGGTATGCCTTCTAGGAGTTGCTAATTAATTTATAGAGAAATTATGTTTTAATTCATCTTTATTTGTCATCTATGAAAATATTTCTCACAATTTATTATTCAATTGGCTTAACATGGTTAGATATTGTTTTAACTTTCAGGTATAGAGAATTGACCGATCAAATATGGAAAGACAAACAAGCTTTGGACAGCAACTTGAACTTTTCATTTTTCGTTTAGATCATCTTGTTATTTTGTACTTGGATTTATTAATATGTAGTAATATGAATTTCATATTATGCAAAGAAATCTGTTTTATTACTTGATATATTTCTTGTTCAATATGAGTATGTGTTTTTTAATGATATTTGAAATGGTGTTTATTTTCTTACCTCAAATTGTAATTCTATTTTGAATTTGTAGGTATTTGTATATGTAAATTACTCCGTATATAATACGGAGTATTTGTTTTCACATACAATTGAGCAATAGCAATGGTATGTCAACTGTTGCTATAGCAAAGAATTAAGTGAAATTGGTCCATGTCTATACCAACAGTAAATGTAATTACTAGCAATTGATTTTCCATTGGTACATATTAATGAGCTATTCCGACGGTAAGGAAATATGTTGGTGTTGGAGCAGTGACAGCAACCGGCCTGGACCCAATTGGGCCGAGAGAGGCAGTAGGCGGAAGAAGACCAACACCCGGAGCTCCAGCAAAAGTGGGTCCTGAAAAGCTTGACCCAGAGTTGTCAGCGGATGGAATACTTCCAGCGGCAGGGAAGAACGGAGAAGGCTGGGAGCGAGCAGGCGGTGAAGAAGACCGCTGGGCGTGAAGTGTCTACTGAGTAGGAGACCAGTGAAAAACGGGTGGAACCCAAACGCCGTCTGAGAAGGGCACCGACGGAGCCGGCGGCTGATACGCTGGAAAGAGAGTGCCCGAGAGAGAAGATGGGCCGGCGTGAGCATCATGGTTGACGATGACGGAACCTGGAATAGATGTCGCAGCAACGGAGGAGAGAACCGGCGCAGACATGGTCACCGTGCCGTCAGCAGAGGAAGTCTCTGCCACGACGGAACTCATGGGAGCAGAGGACGACATATCGGGCGGAAAAAAAAATTAGGGTAGGGAAAGTTTGGCTCTTGATACCATGTGAATGTAATTACCAGGCTTAACCATAGAGGTAGCCCTGACAGATATATTTATAGAGAATAAATGTCAAAATTACAAAGAGAGTCCATAATAATAAATAATTATTAAACTACTCTATTAATACCGACGGCATGTATACTATCACTCAAAATTCTGTGGGAATTACATATATTTCTGTTGGCATAGCTAAATCATGCCTATACCAACAGTTTATGTGTCTATACTAACAATTTCACCTAATTCTTTGTTACCATTACTAAATTATTAGATCATCGCTTTAGTTTTAATTATCATATTTTAATAACCTTTTCGTCGCTAGATGCATATGTAGATTATTGCTTGAATTCATGCATACAATTTAAATGGCGTTTGATTGTGGAAATATATATATTGCGGAATACTTACTAACAAACATAAATACTTCTATACTTTTCGTAATTAAAATGATTAAATGATTTAATCTTAGTATCAGATTTAGAAAGACAAGATAGGTGTCGGGCAACGTGAGATTTTGAATGCGAGAGTAGTGGACTAGTGGCAGACCTAGAACGTACTTAAGTTTAAGAATGTTGGAAATCATGTTACAATTAAAATATTACTCTCTAATGCAACAATTTTTACGTATGCAAATTTTATGACTCTTAATTTAGCTAAGGTACGGTTCCACGTACACATGGAACGATTAGAATTTTACTAACTCAATAATACTCCATATAAATATAAATAAATGATGAAATAATGACTTATTAAACCTATCAAGTAAAGGTACAATATTCTCATTTGTATTGGTGGCATCCACCTCTTAAAAAAGGAATTAAAAGTAAGACTTATATGAACATTACATGTACCACAAAATATTAAAGTGTACATTTTTCAACATTTTGGGTACGGTATTCTGGCATTTGATGGTATAAATAATATTACTTCCGTCGCACTCAATTTTGCCAAGTTAATGTTAGGTGAGAAATTATATTAATTAAAATTGTGTGATTGAGATTTGTGCAGAGAACAAAGAAATGTACATAGCCAAAAATTCATTGCTTTAAAATGAAGTTGCAAACTTTTTAAGATTAAAAAAAAGGGGGGAAGTTGGTAACATCCATTTGGAGTAGAAATAGGGATGTGTGTGTAAAACTCCCCTTCAAGAGAGCTACCTAGCTATTCTAACACAATACGTTCCAAACAAACGTAATTCAAGTTGTTCAATCTAGTTAGCCTCCATATATACGTGTGCCCGTGTGGGCACGGGCGGATTCAAGAAACTGGGATATCTTGAAGTGAAAAGCAATCATACTAGACTTAAACATTAACTGAGATGAATATGAAAAATGAAAAGTTACACACACAAAAATTGAAGAAGAAAAAATGCTACTTCGGCCTACTATATCTCATACATAAATTCTTCCTAATGTGTGTAGTGTTTGTAAGTATAGTCGGAATGGATTGGTATGTGTTATTGGTAGTACTACCTCCGTCCCTTAAAACTTTGTCAAAGTTGACCGGCACGGAGAATAATAAAGTAAAAACTGTGTGGTTGAGGTTTGTGCAGATTATAGAGAAATAACAGAAACCACAAAATACTTGATTAAAAGAGAAAGTGACAAAGTTTTTTGGGACATCCCAAAAAGAAAAGATGACAAAGTTTTAAGAGACGAAGGGAGTATGACTTAAAAGCCCGACAACCGAGCATACCAGCTCAGCTGGTTGTGAGGTTACCGGTGCATATGTGAGGTCTCATGTTCGAAACCCGCTATGCACCAAGGGAAGATGGGAGACGTCTTGCTCCCAATTATTCTTCCTACCTTCACGGAGTTGCTCAACGACTAAGAAGGAAGA